TGAAGACCTTCAAAAGTTTTTCCCAGAGGTTCTAGATCCTCTCTCTCTGGAAGCCTTATTGGTTGACAAATGGGAGAAGCTTTTCTAAGAAGAATTTCTAGAATACTCCCTTCCTGGTTTAAATGTCAAGTAAAGTGTAAAAATCACAAGGAGAAAAGGAAGCCTATGTTCTGATAACAGAGACCCACTTCAAGCAGCCAAGGAAAGGAGAAAAAACACCAACAGAATCAAGGGATGTGAAGCAGTGCGCTCAGGATCACTATCAGCCGATGCAGCATGCACACAGAGACTCCAAACACACAGGTTTAAACAGTGCCGGGGAAAACGGCAGTTCTGTGCATGCACAGGGCCGCCATCAGGGCATGACAACCGCAACGGTTGTCATGGGCCCGGCGGTCCTGGGGGGCCCGGACTGCTCAGGTCGTCCGGGCCCCACATTCAGTGGGTACATACCGGGGTCGCAGGGGGCCCTGCGACCCCGGTATGTACCCACAGGGCCAGCCTCTTCTCCTGGGGGGCCCAGCAGCCGGCCACCTCAGGGCCCCCCAGAGGCTGGCTCTGCTGACACCCGGCGGGCCCGCCCGCCGTCCGCTGTCAGGGGCTGGGAGAATGAATGAGGAGAATATGAATGAAATAGGAGGGAAAGAATGAAATAGGAGAAGGAATGAAATGGGAGGGGAAAGAATGGGCAGAATGAAATGGGGGGGAAATGGGGAAGGGAAATAGGGGGAAGGAATGAAATGGGCAGGGGAAAAGGAAGAATGAAATGGGGAAGGAAATGAAATAGGAGGGGGGAAAAGAATAGAAATAGGCAGGGAAAAGGAATGAAATGGGAGGGGCAATAGAGGGAGGGGAAAAGGAATGAAATGGAGGGCAATAATAAACTGAGGGGAGGGGGAGAGGAATTAAATTTGAGGGAGGGGGGAGAGGAAGGAAATTTGAGGGAGGAAGAGAGGAAGGAAATTTGAGGGACGGGGGAGAGGAGGGAAATTTGAGGGACGGGGGGAGAAGAAGGAAATTTGAGGGACGGGGGAGAGGAAAGAAATTGGAGGGGAGAAGGAAGGAAATTGGAGAGGGGGAGAAGGAAATGAGAGGGAGGGGGAGAAGAAGGAAATTGAAGGGGGGAAAAGAAGGAAATTGGAGGGGGAAGAAGTAAATTGGAGAGGGAGGGGGAGAAGAAGGAAATTGGAGAGGGGGGGAGAAGGAAATTGACGGGGGGGAGGGGGAGAGATTGACATCCATCACACACAATGCACCCCTTGCACACAGAAAAACACACAATGCATTACACACAGACACACGTACACAAGCAATGCATCCCTTACACAAAGCAACACACAATGCACCCCTTACACACACTCAATGCATCCCTTACAGACGCACACACTGCATCCCATACATACACAAACTCATCTTGCAGCCCTTACACATACAAACACAGATTCACACAATGCATTCCTTTCACACATCAGGGCATCCCCCACAGACACACTCCACTACCTGTGAACAAACTCATTGGTGGAACATGAAGGTGGACCCTGGGACCCAGACCTTGAGCTGTGTAAAGGGCCCTCAAAAAAATGGAGCTGCTTCCCGTTCTCCCAGAACATTGATTTTTGTGACCACAGTTACAAACCGCCTCCAGAGAGCCTGTTGTACACCAGACCAGTGGAGCCAGACGGCAGCTAGAGCCCATCATCATCCTCATCTGGTTGTAAGTAGGCAATCTAATATATTATTCGTGGCACTAATCTCTAATTTACCTCACATTAAAGGGACACTATAGTCCCCAGAACCACTGCAGCTTAATGTAGTGGTTCTGGTGTCTAGCCTGTCCCTGCAGGCCTTTTAATGTAAACACGGCGGCACTGCAGCACTGGTGTTAGTTAACATGGCAGATCATATGGGTGGGGCATTGTGATGTCACATGGGGGGGCGGCAGACTTTACTTTTGCCTAGGGTGGCAAAAATCCTTGCACCGGCCCTGCAGACACTGCATCCCTGTGGGCAGATTCGGGGGGGGCAGCACTTTGGGCGGACTCAGGTGCAGGCACAGGGGGGCCCAGACCTTGAGCTGTGTCAGGGGCCCCAACACTTCTGATGGCAGCCCTGTGCATGCACAGAACGCTGGAACGCACGCTATGCGTTTTAGACCCTTACGTCATATACGCACAACCCCCGCGTCACTTCCCGTCGAATACAGCCGAGATGACCCTTCCGCCTGCTGGAACGCACTACTGCAGTCCAGCGATCAAAAACTAAACGATCAGCCTCAGGGAGCCCCAGTACATAGAGACTCAGAAAGCAAAAAACAGGTAAAACAAGGAGGGAAAGAAGAGTATCCCTACAATGGTTCCCTCCAACAGGGGGACCCCACACTAGTATGGATCCCAATAAAACTGCCACATGGGAGGGTGAGAGGGGGGTAAAGCCAAAGAAAGGGGAATTTTTAAGGAGGTCCAACCCCATGAAATACCTTGTAGCTGTGTCTCCCTCAGAAGACCAAATATAAATCCCACGCAGCAGTTTAGTACTGACACTGAACCTGAGCCAGTTAGTCCTGCTCAGGGCAGGCTGTTTACTGGGTCCTTCAAATGAAGAGAGGCCGAACTTCATTTGGTAAGAACCCACGACAAACGCAGGAAGGTGGCCAAAAAATAAAAGTGTTTAAAGTCCTGTAGAACTAGTTAAGGACAGGAAAAAAGACTGTGGTGTAAGGGGAGGAAAGACTCTTTATACCTATCAGTCTAATTAATTAATCTAATAAATTCCTGTCCTGTGACTGCTAAGGGAGGAGCTACCCATAAGTGATGCTGCCACGATTAGCCAGGAAAGTTTTATTGCTTTACGCTGTGCTGCTGTGAGATGCTGTGTTCTATGTTAAGTTGATGTCCTGTTGTAAATCTTAAACTGTTGACAACTGTTGCATATAACTTGCTTTTTAGCGGTCTATATTGTGTTAAAACAACTGCCATATTGTATACTTTTGCTATACCTAAGTATTCACTGATTGTCACGCATGTTACATATTATTGTCACAATAAATTATATTTTTATAATTAATTTGTGATTTATCTGTGAGATAAACTCTTCTAATGAAACTTCCTATAGGATCTAGGAGAATTAAAATAGTGGGTAATTCTTAGTTTTAAATTATTAATAGGGGAAACAGTGCCAGGACATAAATTTTTGATATAGTAAAACTTATTAAATAATATGTAACTCTCGCGAGCTCCAATGCCGGCAGAACGTTGTCATGGGTTACCATGGCAACGCTGCGCGCGGCACGCAGGCACAGCTTGCAAGAGTTACAGGCACAGGAGCTGCTGGAAAGTTAAGATGGTGCTGGCTGGCCCGGTGGCCCCCGTCTACATTGTACAGCGGCTGGCTCCCTCTACCAGACCACCAGGATGCAATTTCCTCTTTCCCTAGCCAGGTAAGAAGCAGGGAGGGGGGAATAAAATTGTGTTAAATAAATGTAAATACCACCAAAAAGGTTCCCCCCCCCCAATGCAGCCCCTATTTTACACATATACACACACTAAAACCACAACACAAACACACACTGCATTCACCATGCACATACTAAAACCACAACACACACACTGCATTCACCATACACACACTAAAACCACAACACAAACACACTAAAACCACAACACAAATACACACTGCATTCACCATACACACACTAAAACCACAACACACACACACACTGCATTTACCATACACACTCTAAAACCACCATACACACACTAAAACCACAACACACACACTGCATTCACCATACACACACAAAAACCCCAACACACACACTGCATTCACCAAACACACACAAAAACCCCAACACATACACTGCATTCACCATACACACAGTAAAACCACAACACACACACTGCATTCATCATACACACACTAAAACCACAACACAAACACACACTGCATTCACCATACACACACTAAATCCACAACACAAACACACACTGCATACACCATACACACACTAAAACCACAACACAAACACACACTGCATTTTCCATCTACACACTAAAACCACAACACACACACACACTGCATTCACCATACACACACTAAAACCACAACACAAACACACTTCATTCACCATACACACACTAAAACCACAACACACACACTGCATTCACCATACACACACTGAAGTCACAACACAAACACACACTGCATTCACCATACACACACTAAAACCACAACACACACACTGCATACACATACTCGTTTTCCTGGCACTATAGGGTCTCTAGGTCCCCCCACCATCAAGGCCCCCCTCCCGCTGGGCTCTAGGCTGTGAAGGGGTTAAATCTTACCTGTTTTCCCCCGCCAGGCTCCCTTGGCGCAGGGAACTCTCCTCCTCCTTCTTTTCGCCGGGCACATTCAGCCAGTCCATAGGAAAGCATTCTCAATGCTTTCCTATGGACGCTGGCGTCTTCTCACTGTGAAAATCACAGTGAGAAACGCGGAAGCGCCTCTAGCGGCTGTCAATGAGACAGCCACTAGAGGCTGGATTAACCCATAGGTAAACATAACAGTTTCTCTGAAACTGTTATGTTTACAGCAGAAAGGGTTAATCCTAGAGGGACCTGGCACCCAGACCACTTCATTAAGCTAAAGTGGACTGGGTGCCTATAGTGGTCCTTTAATGCAGCAGAATAAAATACAGAGATCATGATTTAAGCCAACAGCTTTTGATATAAAGTATAAATCAGATAACAATGCCTCTGTTTAACAAATTAACATCCAATAAACTCTCCCCCCCAGCTTGCTCTTATAAGTAGCTTGCCCTCTAACTCAATATGCTGATTAGTGTTAGTGAATAGTTTTTTTTTTTTTTAAGATTCCATTTTGATCGTCTAAAATGTTTTCTACAGGTTTTTTTTTTTAATTCTTTATTTTTGCACTGATAGACAAGCAATAGTATGACAAGACAGACTTATGCAAAAGCCATGACAGTGTAACGTTAACTTGTGGGTTACAGAAAGTAAATGTGGTTAGTTAGCACAGTAGTCATTTTACGTACAATGTCCAATATTTTTTGCTATGTCATCAGGGTTTTTCTAGTTTTTCCAAGCAATATCAACTATATACAATGGCAGTACTTTCGAGGAGTAGGCTGTGTGGACTGGTCTCAATAAACGCTTACTTAAGAACAGTTATTACATAATTATAGATGATGAAGGTATATTTTCTTTACATAGTGATTACATCAGTTTTTCTTGAGAGCTTGTACCAGCTTATGCCAGTCCATTGTAGCCATCTGTAAATATTAGTTATACTCAAGCCCTCCTCTCCTCCTGCCAAGTTGCAAGTCTAGAGTACATGCGGGACAGATAAAAGAAAAAATGAAAGAAGGATAGAACAACGGAAAAAAGAAATTATGAAGTAGAGAAATGAGTGACCTCTTGGTGGCCAAGGTCAGGGTCGTTCTTCTCCATGAGTCTTCGTGGCCTGTGCCCCGAGTCTTGGCATTGGCCAGATACCCTTGTTAGTAGTGCCATTGCCACCCGTCGGGGTTCTGGTATGTCTATGGCAGTGTGGTTGATCCCAGCTGTTCCTGCTGGTGGGTGCTAGTGTGGATGCCGCCTCGCGCCACAGGCCTAAGTCCCCTACGTGTCGTATTGTTCCCAGAGATCCCATACATTTTAGAAAGTGTTCAGCGTGTTCCTCAATTGGGCAGTGAGTTTGTCCATTAAGTAATTATCCCTTAACCAGGGACACCAGTGAGAGATCTTGGCATGACCATTTCTGTGCCAAAGCTCTACGGGCTGCTAGGTGAATCATATTGAGGAGCTTTTGTTCGTGCTTGGTGAGGCCCTCTGTGGGTCATGATAGCAGGCATGCCCACAGGTCTGGGTTATTCTCCTCTGTAGTATCTGTGAGCTTAAATCTATTATGTGCCAGCATCTCGACACCTGCAGGCACTCCCACCGCATAGGTCCCAGCAGTCGTCTGTAGGGCTCAGTTTCATATGTTTCTGTTTGACAGGGGTCATGTACCATCTGAATAATGTTTTATATGATTGCTCCTGGAGCGTTACGCATATTGTGGTCTTGGTGAATGCTTCCCAGATGTCCTGCCACTCCGTTCCCTCCAAAACCTCCCCCAGGTCAGTATATCGTAGTGCGGTATAGGAGAGTGCGTGCTAGTCTCGAACACTTATCGTGCCAAATGAAGGAGTCTATTGCCCGGGCTTTAACCAGTTTTGATACGAATTTTATTAGTCTTACTTCTCATCCGAAACACTAACTCTAAACCTGACCTGCCCACTGACATCATCAGAAGTGGTAGCCTGATCCAATCCCAATGCTTCCCTTATAGGATTGGCTGAGAACGACAAAGAGGCAGATCAGTGGCATAGCCAGCATAATTCACGCACAGCCCTGGCCAATCAGCAGCTCCTCAGAGATTAATTGAATCAATGAATCTCTATGAGGAAAGTTCAATATCTGCATGCAGAGGGAGGAGACACTGAAAGTGTGGATGCATTTTAGGCAGCCATGACCCAAGAAGGATCTCTAACAGCCATCTAAGGAGTGGCCAGTGAAGTTGTCACTAGGCTGTAATGTAAACACTGCATTTTCTCTGAAAAGACAGTGTTTACAGCAAAAAGCCTGACGGTAATGATTCTACTCACCAGAACAAATTCAATAAGCTGTAGTTCTGGTGACTATAGTATCCCTTTAAGAAAGCAGTGATAACCAGCTCCAGGACAAGCTAAATAAATGAGTCTCATCTAAATTCTTACAAATTTATTGTCAAAATCATCATCACCCACTGTGCAAAATATTCACAGAACTGCTCAAATGAAAAATAGGGTAACTCACAATAAATACAAAACCATAAAAATGTAAAGCGATGAGGAAAATACATAAAAGAACGAAACACTCACAGATTTCAAAACACTTATTTATTTTTTTTAAAATACCAAGCAGATCACTGCACCACTTACTAAATTATCACTATCTTGATTTGTTTGCACAGCAAGCCTCCCTCCCCCTCCCCCACAACACACATTATTGGCTTAAAGAAAAATGTTACAATATATAATCTATTTTAAAAGCAGAGAAGTGAAGTAAACCACAATAATCTATGTGACAAAATTAATACAAATTGTGTTAGGAGTAATTTAGGCAATGCTCAATGATACAACCTGGCGCAAACCGTGTTAATGCAATAGATTTTTCCACCTACAAACATTAGTTAATATGTTCTATAGTTTAGAATTTCACCACCTCTTTAAATGGTGATGAATACTAGACTTGTGCACAAATTCACTGCAGCTGCGACAAACCAATACAATTCTTGTTAATCTACACCAAAACACATTGATATGACCAATCAATTAATTTGGGCAGATCAGATTTGTACAAAAGTCTAATGTATAAAGACTTAAATAGCCAGTAGAGAGACAGGACACATTTATGTAAGTTTATACCTTACAATGAGACAATAGAAAGAGCACTAGGAAAACTAAATTTACTAAACAGATGTAAAATTAAAATGGGGGTAAAAAAAAGTGAACAATGAACTGCCGCTGATTAAGAGACTAAGCGTGATTACAACATAGGCATTTAAAATGCTATGAACACAAAATGAAGAGTTTATTTATTTAAGAGGCACACAAATGTCCTTAAATTAAAAAAAATATATTAAAAAATTAATCCAATGCCTCACATCTGCTTAAAGCATTCCTTTATGTAGGTTTATCTTCCCTTCCACCAAAATGAGTTTCTATTTAAATCGATATGATGACTTCCAGATTATTTTGCCTGAATTAATAAAACTTATTTTAAGAATCCCCTTTAACAATTATCGCTCTTTTGGTAACTTTCACAATGTCTTGTGTGACTTTATCACAAAATGATTTACACAATCCGTAAACTACAACAAGATGAAGGTGCCCCCCTCACGTTAGATTTTTACCCAATTAAATGCACAGCACTATGTTTACAATCACCTTAGTGCTTGAAAGGCCAACTGCACTGTTTATAGACATGCACTATTCTTAGAGGAAGAAAAGATGGCATCCTTTTGATCCCTCAGCTTGTTCGCAGGCTACATCCTGATGCACTGTTCACCTCAGCTAGAATACAGAGAACGTTTTCTAGAAGGTAAGGCTTCTGATTCACTGATTCCAACCTACACGAGGCAGAGTTTTTTTTTTTTTTTTTTATTCACTGCATCAATGCTGTTGGAACACAGCAATCTTTTTTTTTGCGGTTAACTCTTAACTCCAACATCCTGTTAAGATTATTCATCGTAAAGCCTGGGAGGCCCTTCATCATCTTTCTGAAATGCAGAAATCTTCTTTTTATGGTTCTGAACGTGAGATTCATTTAATCTCTCCAATGCTTCAATCTAGACCATGAAATAAAAAGATGAAAGATATTAAGGTAAAACTGGAGACTGCTAACACCTGAAATCTTTTTTTGTGGAAAATAATTCGAGTTCTGTAATAACTACAGAAATGTTATTAAAAACCCAAGTTTTGTACAACAGCATTCCAGTTTGCTTTGTCTTAGGTTTTTTTTCCCTTTAAAATATGCACAAAAAACCAAAACAAAAAAACCCAAAACAAACATTCTGATCTCGTTACATATCTAATACTCTGGAAATAGTGACTGTTGATTAATCTTTTATTTTATCATCTAGAGAATCTTAGGTTTTAACCCCTTAAGGACTGAGCCAAATGTACACGTTGTGATGAAAACAAAAATAACTTTAAAAAACCCAAAAACTTGAATTTGCGCTATATGTCTGTTCAGGCGTAATTCGCCTCTTTCATATTATGTGCACCCACACATATATAATTTTATTGAGTGGGAAACAGGGCTTTCATTTAACAAATATTTAGGTATGAAACAATTTAATATGAATAAAAAAAATAAATAAAAAGAATTTAAAAAATAAATAAATGTTTAGTTCTACGTGACATTCTAACTGTGAATGTCCTAAAAAAAAAAAATTTGTATTCAGCGATGTCTCACATGTCAAACAGTACCCCCTATGTACAGGTTTTATGGTGTTGTGGCAAGTTACAGTTTTCTGTTTTTTCACGCGGAAATTCACCAGATTGGTTACGTTGCCTTTGAGACCCTATGGTAGCCCAGGAACGAGAATTGCCCCCATGATTGCATACCATTTGCAAAAGTAGACAACCCAAGGTATTGCAAATGTGGTATGTCCAGTCTTTTTTTAGTAGCCACTTGGTCACAAACACTGGCCAAAAGTTAGTGTTCATATTTGTTTGTGTTTGAAAAATGCAAAAACTAATTTGAATGCCAATTTTGGCCTGGGGACTATGCCACCCCCCTCCCCCGTCCTATAGCAGTCATCTGCCCTAATTTGATGCAAAAATTTTAATAAAAAAATAAAAATAAAAAATATATAGAAATCACTGTTTAAATAAAATAAAGAAACCTCCTTTAAGGAGGAGGTGTGTTACTTCAGACTTGCTTAAAGTGTAATTTAAATAGCAGCTCTGCTCTCCTGTGTGGGATACCACCTTTCCCCACACACCACAAACATACATAACTTTTAGTGGTACAAGATACACTTAAATCTATGGTGGATCACTAAAGCGGAAAAATAGAAGGTGTACCTTTCCCACGTTGATATGTAAAGAAGAACATATCAAGTACATTTAAAGAACCAAAATAAAAAACTATAGTGGAGATGATAATTATATAAGAGCAATACATCTTTGAGGTCAAGTAACAGGGCTGTATACAGCATGCATTGGAGGAAAACAAAAACACACACTATACAGAATTACCATCTGCACTATATAGTTTGTTTTATGTACTAAATATATTCTTCTGTACATATAAACATGGGGTAAGTTATCTATTTCTTTCAACTCTATAGCGCTCCACCATAGGCATAAGTGTATCGTGTACCACTAGAAGGTGTAAGAAATGTATCTGTTTAGTAGATACACTACCAGTAAATACATGAATTTTCATGTATGTATTGCATGCATGTATATCTTAAAACAGTGTGCAAAAGCTGAATGGTCCATATTATGGGACACTCCTCACCCATAAAGCACTTCAGCAAAACCAAGTGCTTTATGGGTGTAGAGTGGTCCTTTAACATGCCTTTGCTCTCTACCAAAGTACTTTTAAAACAGACTTTACAACAAAATTGTGAGGTTCCCATGCACCACAAGTCCAGGAAACCAGTCATCATTTCCAATCTACAACCATAGATGACCAACACGAATTGCAAGTAAAATATAATTATATTGCAGCAGTGAGACATTTACCAACGTTTAGTGTCGGATTCAAACAGAATATGCATGTGTTCCAAACCTCTGTACATTAATATTTACCTCTGCCAAGAAATCCGCTTGATTATCAGATGTGATATTCAAGCCAGACACAATGTTGAAAAGTTCGCGTTCATTTGGGGTTTCAGAAACGCCTGCCTTCTGGAAGAACTAATACAAGAAAGAAGATGGCAACCAATGGTATAAAAACATTCATTTTGGTAATAGATAAAGATAAGTTAACGTGTTAAAGCAAAAAGAAACGTAGGCAGATTTTAACCTCTTCCCTTCCAGCCCAATTTATACACAGGGTTAGCTATAGGTTTTACGTAGACATCCAGATTTACATTCCATTAAGGCTCTATTCATCACTCTTTGGACAAAAAACTTCTTCTACCGGGATACTGTTCATCCCTAGAATACTGTACATGAGCCTAGACTGTGTAGTGCGGTTGAGTTTATCCATTTAATCCCCCAGGACCAGTATGATGGAGATGGGTCGCAGAAAATGGGGAGAGACACAAACTGCTTAAACCTGTACTCCAGTGCCCACGTATGAACACAGTTCAGCAATTTGCTTGGTATGGTAGAGAAATGAAATACATAGCGGATGCATACCTGTGATACATTCCTGCAGTCCCGGTACAGAAACTCTAATCCATGAGGGTGAGTAGGCTCAACTGACTGACTCACGTCAATAAGCCAAACCTGGAAGTGTTGAAATAAAAAGTAAATATTAAATTTATAAAATGTAGAATATTGTAATGTTGCCAAGAATTTATCTTGTATGTATATGTATATAGCTGAAAACAACTGTAAAGTTTATCTGTTTAAGGGTTAAACAAATAGCTATTTAACACTGAGATATTAACCTCCAGACCTCAGATAGCAGGATATGCTCTAGACATAGTTTTACAACTAGCTTCAAGGTCATCTGGCTACACACAGAATGTCACATTTATTTGTTAAAAGAAAAGAATTGTAATGACAGATATATATATCCCCAAAGTAAACAGTGTAATAAGGAAGTCCGTAATGAAGCAAGCAAAAGAAGAGCAGAGAGGATTAATTTCAAGCCCCTTGATTGCCAATGTATGAGCATCTTTAGCAGGTATGGACAGTTTTTTTAGCATTATTTCTATTTGCTAAACAGCAGCCTCAGAATAAAGACTGATATTGTGAAGTACACATTGGTATGTTATTGTTCTGCTGAAGTACTGCGTCAGAAGACAGTTGGTTTACAACACACACTAAATTTCATAAGACAGATGTAAAACTGATGGAAGTGCCAAATATTTATATTCTACAGCTATTACAATCAACACTACCCTATGTATTGTGTGAATATTACACAATTACTACAACACAAGGACTTAGATTTGGCCTGTGAGCTGGTTGTGGGCAGGCCAGATGTGGCCATAGGGAAAGATGGGGAAGAAAGAGGGAGTTAAAACAAACTAGATCTCCACTAGCCTTCCTAGAATTTCATATTTTCCATCATCTTACATGACTCGCTTGGGAGTATGAATCCTTTTCCATACACTTGCCAAAAATATGTGGCCTGCTCTTTGAAAAAGTTGTTTTATAGATGTAGACAGAACTTAATGTTTGATTGTGACTTCATACAAACCTTTCCATCTTGCCACAACATGTTGTATTCACTGAGATCAGCATGCACAAGGCTGCACTGGTCATAAAGCTGCTTCATCATCTAAACAGGGAAAGAAAAAAAAAAAAGAAAATTTTTTTTTTTTAAATTTACAGAGTGAAAAAAAAGAAAAAATGATGTTGAAGTAAAACACATTTTAATCTATATAGATAATATTGAGCCGTAATTTAGAGACATAAGCTACTGTTTCTGGCAACATCCCTTTTACTGCCATTAGTACCTCAGGCCTCTATTTTGAAGAAACCAACTACCATGAATGCAACCTGATTGAAAATAGAGTTTTACCTTAGTTTTTAAAGCAATTTCAATTTTTTTTTTTCTTTCTTTCTAATAACAAGAGTGGAAGAAAATGTACACATCACAATTACGGTTTATTGGTTCAATCTAAATAGATTAAGAATTAAGTAACTTTACAGCGGCACATTATTTTGAAGTAGTTCAAGTGGAACAAAAACATTACGATCGAGATAGATATACATTAGTCCGGTTTTGATAGGAGCACTTGTTGAGAGAATGGTTACAGCAGACTCCAGGTGGGTTATCTGACATCTCTAGAAGTGTCTAGAAGAGTGCAGCTCTAGGAACAGCCAAGATAATGTGCAGAACTGCAGAACCCAGACTATAAGATCTCTGGTAGAGGACCAGAGAATGAGAAATATACAAAATATACACATTTTCTCCCCCCTCTGGATGGTATGAGATAAACAAAAAAAATAAAGCACTATTAACTTACAGAGAGGACCTGGTAATAGGCTTGCTTTGCATCCTCTAAACCAAGCTTTGCTTCCTTCAGTGTAGGAGCAGGGACCTGATCCTTTCCAATAAAGGACATGACCAGCACATGCTTCTTTAACAAGACAACTTCTGGGCAAGGTATGCCAGCTTTCTGCATTCTGATTACAAAAGAAAGATGGCGTTAAAACATGTACCACCTAACAATTACCCAATATATAATAGCAGCATATCTTGCTTGACTTCTAGAAGGTTCTAATCATGGACGATTCTATGGAAATCAATTTATATTTTGTCAATTATACTCTACTTTATGAAGACACATCTGTCCGGTGTTCATACCTCTTGAGATTGTGCATTTCCTTTTCTGCCCACATGCGAATGATTTTGCGTGGATTGAGCTTGCTGAAACGATCCTTGAATCTGTAGTCATCTTTAATGTATTTATCTCTATTCTTAAACTCATTTAGGGTTGTTTTGAAGACCTTTAGTGCGCATTCAGTGGGTACCTCACCATTTTCCATGCTTTATATATGGAAGGGGGAAAAGAAAGCCGCATTGAAATACAAAGCCAACATGTTCATGCTTTACTTTTTAATCTCTAATCATCATGTCCCCAGTTTTATAGTTCTCACAATAAAGCAATGGCCTTCCATGTCCCCATCAATCTTCAGTTATTAGCCCCTTAAGGACACAACTTCTGGAATAAAAGGGAATCATGATGGAATATTTCCGTCATGTGTCCTTAAGGGGTTAAAGGAACACTATAGGGTTAGGAATACAAACCTGTATTTACAACTCTATAGGTCCTTCCCGACATTAAATACTTAAAGTGTGAAAATCCCTTTTCCCAGCACTTGCTAGGTCTCATGCAACATCACAGCGATGTTGGGACATGGACAGTACGCACAATAAAGCTTCCCTATAGGGAATATAGTAGTTGTTTAACAGGATAAAACAGTTATAGACACTAAAGTGCTTCTAGTTCCTGTCTGAAAGAGACACAAGAGGTGAAGTTAACCTCTAATCATTGCAGTTTCATACAATCTGTGAAGTTGCAGGGTTACACAGACAGGGACACTGCACCCAGGCCATTTCAATGAGGTGAAGTGGTCTGAGTGCCTATAGTGTCACTTTAAGTCTGATGAGAACAGACATCTTAGAGTTGCGCAAAATAGTTGCATATGGCACCCTATTGAGCATGTACAAAACTATCTATTGAAGATTATTTATACTCTTGTGTATGCATGCGAGTACAATAGGGAAGACTGCTCCAGGCAGATGACGTTGCCAGGTGTTGAAATATGGTGACACTGAGGAGGTATAGTTTATGGCCTCCCCCAGTTGCCACCTCTACACAAACAGATAAAGTACCTTTTAGGGAAAAGAGTAAGGCACAGTTTGTGAGTCAACATTAAAATACCCAGCCACATTAAAATAAATACAAACACTTAGCATTAAACATACCTTCCTCCACTAGCGTGAAAGACAACAGATTCCTTTCCAGTGCTCACACAGCCATTAATGGTTTCTAGTATCCCAGAATTCACCATTTTATACAATAACAGTCTAGTCTTTGGATCCACTGCCTTCTCCTGCAAAAAAGAAAAGTATGCAATACAGATTTGAGTAGGTTTAAGGACAAGACATTTGTGTAGGTGTTCAATGCACAACAGATGCTAATGGCACCTCAAAGCACGTAAGCAAGATGATCTATAGCAGACCTTAAGATCCTGACGTAACATGGTATATTCCATAGACAATAACAGTAAAACAAAAATGATAGTGGTGCTTGCCACATTACGTTATTTAAAATGACATTACTAGAAAGGATTGTAGAAGAGAGAATAGGTAGCAAACACCCCTGGATATAGAACGTGCAAACGCTTACATAGATTTATATTGTAGCTGTCATTTTTTATTTCTTTAGACAGCAAGAACGAAATGGATAAAATGAGATTGGTTTCCATACCGCAGTAGATACTTCTTTCTTGTCATGCAATCTTGCACTTCTACGTTGCTCAGAGATAGAATGCTGCTTAAGTGCATTGAAAACCTGGTTTGATAGTTTTAAATCCATGCCAATTCCATCTCCAACCTGGAATTCTGGAGCAAACTGAAAGAAAGAGCAAGCAGATGAAATTGGAATTTAACCCCATAATCATTTAGCTGGAGATAGATATAGCGGAGGAAGAGACACTTTCAGACGATAAGTTGCACTAAAAACACATTTATTGACCTGAAACAATATTATGCCTTATAAAAGCAAACTGAAACATATAAATGTTTAACTTTTTGATGCACTTCATATATAAAAAGCAAAGATAAAAAAATGTGGACGCTTCTTTTGTGAAGGTGCCAAAAGTTACAGGTCACATCTAACAGATTGGAATACATGCACATGGCAAATGAACACTAACAATAATTGGAGGGGGCGGTGTAGAGACATCTTTAATAATTACAATCAGGTTTAAGGATTAACATGCTGCAGTGGTAAACAAGGGACAAGTGCAAACAGCCACCCAATACCATGACCACATAGTGCTTACATTTTCCATTCGAGCAGTGTTCTTCCTACCGCACTCTACTTCATCATGTTTAGTTGTAATGTCTCTTCCTTTTCCAACAAAGCCCTTCTTTGGGGTAGTGGTGGGTTTATCTGATGGAGAAGAGAGAGAGAAAAAAAAAAAAAAGGGATTAAAAACAAAGGATTAAATACCCAGAATATGCACACTTAGGAGGAAAAAAAAAAAAAAAAAAACCATTTGGGAAAAATAAAAAGCTAAATGAAACACACAAAGCAATGTATGAGAAAGTCCTTTATCTTGACTACTGGATGTTGTTTCCACCAATAAACAGTTATAGATAAAACTATCTTATGAAGGATTTAAGTGAGAAAACCACAGTGGGTAGTTTTACTAAATGCATTGATTTTAGCCCTGCAATTACCTGCTTTGTATGGATCATGGCGTGTGTCCTGCCAATCAACTTCATCTCCAGAGCTATCACTCTCTTCATAAGGATGCACCTTTCGATAATTCTCAAAGGATATGGAAACTGAAAACAAAACATGCAGGGGTTCAGCTTTGTTCCAGTCCTCTATTTAGGAACATGGCTTATACATTATTATTTTTTATTTTTTTAAGTCTCCTACCTTTACTGTCCCCATTAAACTTTCTTTCCTCCCTGAGAAGCTGAGCATCATATTCCCTGTCAAACTGCATTTGCAGCATTTGAGCCAAGACTTCATCACTTGATGTGTCAATATCTTCACCTGTTAGGAAGGATGTTTCTTCAGACCTAAAAAATGTGTTTATACACAAACATATGATTAAAAAGACAGCCTGGACATTTTTAATCCAAGAATACAATTAGAGGGAACATTTGACTTCTTATTTGTTGCCCAAGATTCATTTAAAACATTCTATTCACAAAACTGTGAACAGGGCTGTGTAAATCAATCCTTAGAGGGACACAATAGGCACTAAAAAAAAACTTTAGCTTAATGAGGCAGTTTTAGTGTATAGATCATGCCCATGCAATCTCCCTACAGAGTAACTGCTTAGAGTGAACAGTCTTTCAAGAAAGACTAACTTTTATAGATAAAAACTGCAAAAGGATTGCCACCAGCATATCACATACTGATCAGTTCTCAATGTCTGAACTACATATCACAAAAATTCCTCCTGGAATCTCAACTGAAATAGAATTGGGAAATGCCTAAATCCTGGACTGTTGGTGTACATGGAAAACTAGGATGGGAACCAATGATACAGACTTCTAGCCTTTAGTTATCCTTTAAAAGATACCTACAAATGGTTCACAAGTTAGAGCTGCACAGCAAAATTGGGCAGAATATGGGGTGGGGGTATAAATAAATAAAAACAAAACAGTCATGTATTTACTTAATCGTGTATACATTGAAATCAAGTTTCAATAAATATTAAATGTATCCATCACATCAAAGTAATATGTTATCTATTTAATATAAATCGATATCACACACACTTTTATAAAAAAAATAAAGTTTAATAGAGATTTTGGGTAACTTACAGCGCCTCCTGGGGAGCAATGTGGCTCTCTTCTTCTAGCTGAAGCTCTCTGGCTAGCTGCTCACTCATGACATCTGCCAATGAGCACTGATTTGTAGGTTTTGTGTTTACACCCCAAGGGCTCTAAAAATGTAATGATGAATTTGTAAATATACATATAATTAGGCAATAGTTAAGTAATATATGTAAATTAGACAACATTCAATAATCTGCTAGATAACAGAAAACAAAACAAAACACCAAGTCATATGCAGAACAGAGAATATCAAAGATCACTCGAAAGTACTTTGATACTTGTGATGTACAAGTAATTGTCATGGATGCAGTAGTGCCATGTTAGACTAAAGGTTAGCCTAACCCTAGTCTTGTAACACCAGCTGAGATGATTTTAAGGGGTAGGACGGTATCTATGTATTCTATACTTCAGCAAAAAATAGTCTTAAAGGGAAGCACCAGGTACCAGCTTACCTATCGGGGTTAAACTGTTCATGAACGGTTTAACCCCAAAGTCTACTCTTCAACACCGTTTAGCTGTGTCCCTGGCCTTCTGCTGCTCTGGTGAAAATGGGTTTTGGTAGCTGGGTTTAAGTCATGGATGAAAACAAAAACAAAAAATGCCTGATCTTAGCCAGGAATCTGACGTGGACTCAAATATTTCTCAGTCTGAATAAAGTATAAAAAGAGATTTACAAAATTACACTTTAATCCTTTAAAAAACAAAACAAAACAAAAAAAAACTGGCTGCCTTTGGAAGCAATCCTACATTTTTACTGTATAATGTTTTAATTCTGTGTTAAATGATAACCAATATGCATATGTTGTAAAAAGAGAACACTAACCCTCTGTATAACAGAAGTATACAAAGGTAAATTATACCATGTCACCTTGATATGAGTCATGAATGAATCACAATGGGAACACCCAGCATATAAAAGAACTTGCATGAGGTAATTCATGGGATTATATATAGCCAACAAGGCTGTTTTACAATGGGCAGAGCAGTAAAATATGAAGATTACAGCTATGACACTGTGAACCTGACACCATATGTTGGTGGGGAGGGAGTGCTGCTGGGTTACTAGAGAAAACAAGGAGTGTGTTCAGCCATGACTTAAAAAAAGCATATGCTATGAGGCAGATAGCCAGCTGCCTGTTATGCCCTTATCCTATCAACCAGAACAACAAACTAGGTTGTCAGGACAAACTTACAGACCACAAGAGATTTTCTAGTTTTGGAAGTACTTTATAGCACCTATCCACAAATAAATGCCCAAGTTTGTTATCAGGTAAGTCCAGATCCGGGACTGAAATGTTGACTCGCTTAACTTGTTAGTATTATGTTATTCCAATTAAAAAGGTATCATTACATACTGCAATACACTGACATCTTGTCTACTGGACTAATAAGGCTAATTCAATCTACCATACATATACATACACACATTACATAGTCATTCCTACGATAATATAATTTATACTGAAATACACACACACAGTCCATTGACCCTAAATATTCCTTTTAAAAGAGACCTTAGTCCCCATGTAGCTCAGAGGTTTATAGATATAATACACAATATATTTCATAGATATAATACACAATATATTTCTAGATATAATACACAATATATTTCATAAATATACAATATATTTCTAGATATAATATACAATATATTTATAGATATAATACACAATGGTTTATAGATATAATATACAATATATTTATAGGAAGTTCTCACCGGCCGAGTCTCAGTTGCGATAATTGACACTGGCTCCATCTTCTCATTCAGGCTGGAGTGCTCACTGTGGGATTCAATGGTTGGTTCAGTCACTGACAGCTTAGAATTCTCTATAGACAGCTTAGAATTCTCTATAGACAGCTTAGAATTCTCTATGGACAGCTTAGAATGCTGTATAGACAGCTTAGAATTCTGTATGTAGAGCTGGTATAGAGAGTTGGATACCCCGTGTATTGAGTATGACAGTGTCTGTCTGTGTGTATATATAGGCACTGGATGGGCGGGGTTTACTCGGGATCAGTCCGGACTTGTCTGGCAGTGCCGGTGTTTTATTTGAGGCCTGTAACCTGCCTGTAACTGCTATCACTGGCTCCGGTAGCGGGGGTCTCGGTGGCTGCTCTGACAGGCGGTGACAGCTGACAGGGAATCCGCTCGCTATAACGCTGGGTGACTGCAGCGGCCGCCTGGAGATCTACTCACGGATCCTACTTACTAACGCAGTGCGAGTCTGAGAACAAGAAGCGAGTGACGCAATCACGCACTGTGGACGTCGGATGACGTCACCTCGTCCCAGTGTATCAGGCGTTATAAACAACTGAGACGAAAACGCTGACCATACGTCTCGGTCTCCGCCAGGGAGCCATCTTATTGGAGCGACAAAGAGTTTTCAGGGATGGTGCTTGTAACTCGTTTCTGCTGAACTGTGGGTGTAACTGTATATGCCATAATTTTGTATTATATATAGGACAGTGTTTTTTTTCCCCTTCTGTTTCTTAGAAGTATTAACCCCTTAAGGACGGAGCCAAATGTACACGTTGTGAACGAAACAAAATGTAAACAAAACCTGCCATTTGCGCTATATGTCTGTCCAACCGTAATTCACCTCTTTCATAGTAAATGCACGCACCCTTATTATATATCATTTTATTCAGGGAAAACAGGGCTTTCATTTAATATCAAATATTTAGCTATGAAACATAATTTAATATGAAATAAATGGGAGAAAAGATTTTTTTATTTTTTAGTTCTACGTGACATTTTAACTGTCAATGTCATAATACTGTTTGCTTTTACTGCAATAAAATACACATATTTGCATTCAGTAAAGTCTCACGTGTAAAACAGTACCCCCTATGTACAGGTTTTATGGCGTTTTGGGAAGTTACAGGGTCAAATATAGCACGTTACATTTGAAATTGAAATTCGCCAGATTGGTTACGTTGCCTTTGGGACTTTATAGTAGCCCAGGAATGAAATTTACACCCATAATGGCATACATACCATTTGCAATAGTAGACAACCCAAGGTATTGCAAATTGGGTATGTCCAGTCTTTTTTAGTAGCCATTTGGCCACAAACACTGGCCAAAGTTAGCGTTAGTATTTGTTTGTGTGAAAAATGCAAAAAAACGCCAATTTTGGCCAGTGTTTGTGACTAAGTGGCTACTAAAAAAGACTGGACATACCCCGTTTGCAATACCTTGGGTTGTCTACTATTGCAAATGGTATGCCATCATAGGGGTAATTTTCATTCTTGGGCTACCATAGGGTCTCAAAGGCACCGTAACCAATCTGGCGAATTTTAATGTGAAAAAAATGAAACGCAAGCCTTATATTTGACGCTGTAACTTTTGAAAACACCATAAAACCTGTACATGAGGGGTACTGTTGTACTCGGGAGACTTCGCTGAACACAAATATTTGTGTTTCAAAACAGTAAAAAGTATCACAGCAATAATATCGTCCGTGTAAGTGCTGTTTGTGCATGAAAAAGGCAAAAAACTTCACTTTTACTGGCGATATCATCGTTGTAATACACTTTACTGTTTTGAAACACTAATATTTGTGTTCAGCGAAGTCTCCCGAGTAGAACAGTACCCCCCATGTACAGGTTTTATGGTGTCTTGGAAAGTTATAGGGTTAAATATAGTGCTAGCAAATTAAATTCCCTTTACTTTCGGCATGGGTTGTCAGGCAGGTCCCGCTAATTGTAATTAATTAAGATACCTAATTATGTAAAAATATTACATAAATATATATGTAGAATTAATATATGTATATATATATTCGTATGTGAATCTATATGTGTATATATATATATAATTTTTTAAAAATATTTTTATTTATATATAGGTATATATATATAGTGATATATACTTATATATTTATGTATGTAGATATATAGACAGAAGACAGGAGATTTAGTCTACGTCAAAGGAAAGGGTTTTTTGCAATAAGAACAATAATGATGTGGAATTCTCTGTGTGAAGAGATGGTTTTATCAGAGTCTATACAGATGTTAAAACTGCAATTGGATAAATACTTGCAAAAGCGTAATATTCAGGGATATAATTTTTACTATTTCGGGTAACAGTTTCTTGATCCAAGGTGAGATCTGACTGTCATTCTGGGGTCAAGAAGGATTTTTTTCCTAGTTTGTTGCAAAAGTGGATATGCTTCAGACTTGTTTTTTCCCTTCTTTTGGATCAACAGCAATAACAGATGTGAGAAAGGCTGAATTTGCTTTACACATGTCTCTTTTGATCTATGTAACTATCCTTTAACTTGTTAACGTTGTTAGGGTGTACTATGCTGCCCTGCATTTAAAGAGCTTAAAGGACCACTATAGGCACCCAGACCACTTCAGCTTAATGAAGTGGTCTGGGTGCCAGGTCCAGCTAGGGTTAACCCTTTTTTTCTATAAACATAGCAGTTTCAGAGAAACTGCTATGTTTATATTAGGGTTAATTCAGCCTCTAGTGGCTGTCTAGATTTTCACAGTGAGAAGACGCCAGCGTCCATAGGAAAGCATTGATAATGCTTTTCTATGAGACTGGCTGAATGCGCACGCGGCTCTTACCGCGCATGCGAATTTAGCCGAGGAGGCGGAGAGGAGGAGGAGAGCTCCCCGCCCGGCGCTGGAGAAAGAGGTAAGTTTAACCCCTTCCTCACCCTAGAGCCGGTGGGAGGGGGACCCTGATGGTGTGGGCACCCTCAGGGCACTATAGTGCCAGGAAAATGAGTATGTTTTCCTGGCACTATATAGTGGTCCTTTAAACGCTGTTAGGGTGGCATGCGATCGTTAGCTTCCCTGTCCCTGCACACTTACATTGACTGGTGATACGTGGGCTCTCGAGACAGGTAGCCCCCCCTGCTTCCATTTTGTCCCTCCAAGGCCATGTGATATAAATGTATGTACCTGTGTGTGTGTATATATATATATATATATATATATATATATTCAATGTGTATATTTATCTACTATATTTACATAATTAATTAATTTTATTAATTATAATTCAAGGGACCTGCCTGACAACACAGGCAGAAAGTTCATTGAATTTAATTTACAAGCCCTATATTTAGCCCTGTAACTTTCCATAACACCATAAAACCTGTACATGTGGGGTACTGTTGTACTTGTGACACTTCGCTGAACACCAATATGAGTGTTTTAAAACACTAAAATTTGTGGCTACTACAAAAGACTGGACTTACCAATCCTGAATACCCTACTTTTGTGAATGGTATGACATGATGGGGGAAATTCAAACCAAAATGGGAAAGCCCTATATTTGTCCCTGTAACTTTCAGAAACCCCATAAAACCTGTACATGGGGGATACTATTTTACCTGTGAGGAATCCCTGAACATAAATATGAGTGTTAGAGCAGTAAATCCTATATTTACATTTTTTAAATGAAAAAATAAAAAAAATTGGCTACTAATAAAGACTGGACATACTCCGTTCTGAATACTCTTGGTTGTCTACTTTTGTGAATGATATGCCAATCTGGCAAACTGAAATTGAAAGCCCTATATTTGTCCCTGTAACCTTCCAAAACCCCATAAAATATGTACAGGAGGGGGTACTGTTTTTTTTTTTTTTTTTTTAATGAAAAATGTTATGTTTAAGGAGGGAGCTAGGCGATTTATGTAGGGGCATTATTGGAGTGCTGGGAGTTTTGGGCTGTTTCTGAGGGGGTAGTTAGGAAAGTTGGTGGTGTCTAAGAGGAAGATGGGTATTCAGGGGAATCTAGTAGGTATGCACATGTGACACCAGAGCAGCCTGTGCACAGTGCAAGTGTCTAAGTTGCCTACCGAAGTGAGGACTATCAGCTTTGGACTCCTGGTTTTGTAGGAGATTATGGCAACTCTGTAGAAGGGAGATAATTATTATGAGCTTGGTGCAGCATGTCTAAGGATGTGCTCATACTCTGCATTTTCTGAGGACAATTCCCCAGTCTCTTCTAGAAGCAGAAAACCAGAGAACAAAATTTGGGACGAACCTCAAACAGTGAGCTCCACAAACTTGGGACTATTGTCAAGCATGCTGTGGTTGCCTTTTTGAGACTCTACATTGGATTGGGCTATGGGTGCCAGGAAGAGCCCCATAATTCATCAAACTGTTTGAAAGTGGCCTGGCAGAAATGGGATGAACAGTACCCACAAACGAATAGCATGAACTCTTTAACAGTTATGGTGCATGAAATAACCTCAAGCTACATTCAGTCAATAATAATAATCAGGAGCAGCTAGCTGCAGTGTGCTGTTATTATCAGCCTCTATATATTTATTGACTGTGTTCCATTCTGCCATTTCTCTCTCTTCCATAGAACTAGTGCTAAGAACAAACGTTCGACAATTGAGCAGTGTTCCTGCTTAGGGGCGGGGCTTAAAGAACGTTGTTGATTGGAGCAAGGAAGAGCAACGTGTCTCTGTCATGGCGGCCCCCTGGAGATCCTCTTCCTGTGCTGCTACAGCAGAATGAAGTTTCAGGTTTAGGGGGTTCCAGTAATTGTAATGTAGTGACAGATGTATTTTAGGGGACCCGCGGTGGGTCTCTCCTTCACTTGCTTCTTTTTGGCTTTCTATTTCACTAACAAGGTGAGGAGGGCGCCTGCTAATGCACATCTATACAGGGCAGGGCTGCAATAGCTTGCACCATTTACAGCCCCTAGTGAGATCCATGAGCTTACCTGTCACCTGGCTCATACATAGTTAATAGCTCACGGTGTGCAGGTGAAGCCGTGGTGATTTCATTGCAGATAATGTTAATCTACATATACTATAACTAATCACACAAGACCAGATTACTTTGTGCTATAGTTTTATGCCTCATCTGTTTTCTTTGTTTTTTTAAATGAAATTACATTATAGAAATCCTTACAACAATCTAGTTTCAGTATAAAACAGTTATTAGAAGTCCGCTATTACATCACAGACCTTCACTTTGTGTTGATTGTGAATTAGACTATTGTATTTGCTTGTTTTCCAAACCAAAGTATATTATGCATTTTAATATTTTTTTTTCCCCCAGCTGTAATACAGATTAAATTATGTAGATTATAAACTAATCTCTATGGTTAAATTGCTTTCACGTGGACTACTTATATTTAGCGTTGGCCAAGATCAGTCTGTCATAGGTGTATAACTTGTTTCTGATGTACACTGTAACTGTTTTGCATAGTCAATGTGAGTTCTTATCATAATTATATAAATGTCTGTAGTTGTTTTGTTTTATGAAATTGTTATACATAAGGTCAGAAATATGGCAACCTCCGGCACCCCAGATATTGTGGACAACAACTCCCAATGATGCTTTGCTGACATTATTGCTTTAAGAGCATTAAGGGAAGATAATTTCTCTGATTTTGATTAGTTCTATTTTTTTTTTTATTACTCATTTTATTCAAGTTAAAGGAACATGCCATGGGAATTTTTTTCTTTACTTTTACAATTTAGTGTAGATATCCATTGTGGACATATTTAAAAAATTTATCATCTGCAAGCCCTCTCTTTCTATCCCAGTCCAGACTTTCTGTGGCTGTCCAATCAGAGACTTTCCAATAATGAGATGTCTTTGCAAGGCTGGTGATCTGGACAATTGCCTGTATCTTGAGTTTAGCTTGACTGAGCTAAACAACTAGGAAGTAACAGGACAGATTGTCTGATAGGCGGGGGTGAAGCAAGGTTAATTTATAAATGTATTAAAATCTGCACTTTTTGTAAAAAACATTTTTTTATTGCCTAATCTAAGTGCAATAATACATTCAAAATCTAGCGCTCCCAAAAAATTTACTTTTACTTGTAAAATAAAAAGGACGCACTCTTCACAAATAAAGTAGTTGAGCAAGCTCAATTGTTTTAGGTGTGGGAAAAGTCCCTTTAAGCTTTTAACACATTCAAACAGGTCCTAAGCATTACAGTGTTCAAAAATGTTACCATAATTTCTGCTGTAATATTGCAAGTCTTTGTCCAGTATAACTGAATATTTTAGCGCAATACAAAAAAACCATATCTTACGTACCCTACTGTAGCAACCAAGAGCGTATCTAGTAAAGAGAAACAAAAATGAAATGCAACCAGGCACAGGCCTATATAGCACAACCTTTTTTAAATTCATTACAGCTGTATTAGTGTAACATCAGAAAATATCTCCTGTATTGTGGAATACATGTCTGTGAGTGTAATGTCTTTGTCCGGCCTTTGCTGGGATTTCACTTAATATATTTAATGTTGTACATATAAACACCACTGAAATGTGTGGCTGATGCAGTCAGGGCTAGTCACTAATGCGAGAACTGTCAGGAATTCAAGGTGAAATTTCATTTTAAGGCCAAAGTAGCCAAAATGGAAGCATACCTAAATTGGAGATTTCTTTCTGGTTTGGCTATTTTGGCCTGGAATTTGAAATTAATTTCACTTTGAATTCCTGACAATATTCACTTTAGTGAATAACCTGGTATAGATTAAAGGAACACTATTGTGTCAGTATCCAAACATGTTTTCCTAACACTAGTGCCTGTTTAGCTATTTTGTGCCCGGGCCCTCTCAGGTCGCCCTGAAAAAGGTGACTCACCTTTTTTACCAGGCCGCTCCTGACCCCGCCTTCATGGCTCAGATAATCAAACTTGGAGGCTTTTGTGCATGCGTGGCAAAATGCAAGGCTGCACCAATCCACATCTCCTCATAGAAATGCATTAAATGAATGCATCTCTCTGGGAAACGTTCAGCGCCTCCATGCAAAGTGTGGATATACTGAATGCCAGTGTAGCACACTATGCAGCACTAACGCAGGAATAAGCCGCAGAAGTCACACATAGAGAGATGGAAGCAGGTTCGTTCAGGAAGAAAAAGATCTTTGTTACCGATCGGGTCTCAGATGAACTCCTGTCCTAAAAATGTCTGAGCCCAGAGCACAGATTGCAAATGCTTTTTATTAACAATAACTCCTACCATTCGTAACTCCACTCACACATACCCTTAGACCAATCAGTGAACAGGATATTCAGAATCATCTAATATGGGAAGACTGCATGACTCCTTTAAGGACAAAGGATTGTGAGTACAGTTGATGCACATGCTCAGTACATTGATGACAGTATCTTAGCTACATGTAACTAACTAACTAACAGATACAACAAACACCTGTACTTGTATATGCCACATGGAGATTTCAGGCCTACAAAATTTTGAACCATTTTGAAATCCCATTACAGAAGCACCTGTGAAAAGGCAGAGTTTTCATTGAAAAGGCTGCAGGGATGGTCTGTAGACACCTGAACCACTATATTAAGCTGTAGTTGTTCTGGTGACTATATTGTC